TGGACAAGTTGGCTGAGATTTATACCCGTGGGATCGTTCGACTCCACGGAGTGCCTGTTACTATCGTGTTAGACAGAGACCCCAGATTCACCAGTAGATTCTGGCAGAGTTTGCACGAGGCGATGGGCACGAGACTAGAGTTCAGTTCACCCTACCATCCAGAGACTGATGGACAGACCGAGCGGACCATTTAGACGTTGAAGGATATGCTACGAGCTTTGGTTGTTGACAGGGGTGCTAAGTGGGAGTCATTATTGCCATTGGTCGAGTTCGCTTACAACAACAGTTATCATGCTTCTATTCAGATGGCTCCTTATGAGGCACTTTACGGTCGTAAGTGTCGTTCCCCTCTTTATTGGGACGACGTGGGTGAGCGTCGAGTACTCGGTCCGAAGATGATCGAGGAAACGGTAGAACAGGTGGAGTTGATCAGGCAAAGATTAAAGACAGCTCAGAGTCGGCAAAAATCATCAGCCGATCAGCATAGGCGAGACATCCTGTAATGTCCCGATATTTTATCGGTATGAATTACGTTTAATTCCGATATAATAATGTTATCGTTTATTATTTTCGGAATTAATTAAGTTCAGTCGGGATTACCGAAATTTATTTTCGACGTACCGTTCACGTTCGAAATAATTTTGGTAATTAAGCATTATGTTTAATTGATAATTAAACATAAAGTTAGTAATTAATTTGATGCTTAATAATCATTAATTTCCAATTAGCCGTAGCCTTAGGGAGAAATTCTCCAAATTTTTATCAATAAACCGTAGCCTTTCTTAAGGCTTAGGAAACCAAAATTTTCTTCTCTTTTGAACATGACACGTGTAACATGAGGAGGATGATTAGTCATCAAATGAAGCATGAGGATCAAGCATATGGCAAGAGATAAGTTGGCCACATAATCCCTCCGTCACCTTCATTCTCCCCCTACGGCTTATTATATAAGACTTGTTTGGGGATAAATTTTGCCCACGTTTCTTAAGGCAAAATTGAGCAGCATAGTTCTTCTATATACTCCCTCTTCAGCAGCCCTTAATTCAAGCAATTTCTTAAGTTTTCTTCCCATAATCGCACGGCAAGTGAAGGTCTACTCGGAGTACACGCAAGGAAGGAGGCCACGCCCTAGCTTTCGTATTCCGTCGACCGATTGGAGAGGTAATCCCTCCTTCAGTTTATGATCATATTGATTCGGTTATTTTGAGGTTAATTATTCAGATTATGTTCGAGAAAATTTAGAAAAACCGTGCTTAAGTCCGTGTATGTTTAAGTAAGGTTATCACCGAACGAATTTCAATTTCTTCCGATAACCCTCGAACTATGATCATTTATATATTCAGTTCAGTCTAATTCGTGTTCAAAATGATCAATTTTGTTGAGTAAAGATGAGGTATAGGCGATGAAACGGCCCCAGCCGACGCCCGCGCCTATCGCGTGTGGCCTCG